GATAGATATAATATCCTCGCAAACACCTTTTTCTCATTATCTGTATGAGAAATATGAATTTGAATCAATTAACCTAAAGTAGCGCTGTCCTGTAAAAATAGGGGCTATCCGGAATTATTACAAGCAGTGCCGACAAGTTTCTCCGATGCTACAGACTAATTAGTAACAGCTATGATAAAGATATTAATAATGATTTTTATAATCTATAAAATTATATTAAAAACAACTAAGGAATATTTCGGCTCATTGAATCGTATACGTTCAGTACAACAGCTGTAATGCTGGCAAGGATTTGACTTATCTCAGTCAGATGATGTACATTTGAATCGCGAGAACAACAGCGCCCGGAACGGTTTGCGAACTTCCTCGATTTTCAAAAAGCTGATTTTAGGTTGATTCACAACACGTGTTTTATTTTCATGAAGCTTGACATTATCATATGCTTTTCCATACAGGCAAGTTCCAATTTGTTATGCGTTTTGCTTATATGCAAATGCAGCCCAGGCTGGAACGCGCCGGGCGGGCCCGTGCGATCATGCGTTTTTGCACCGGACTTGAATTACTCAGGTCATTAACTGACTGTTGCTTTACACTTCCGCTTAGCAGTCACCAGGATAAATCATTATAAATTTTTCAAAGTAAATGTACAATTTTCATTTAACAGTCTTTCTTTAAAAGTAACCTAGTTGCTCAGTGAGAAATTTTTGCATCAAGACTTTCAAGCGCTCGTACTTAAGAACCACGAATATCTCAATGCTGAATTTGAAATATTTGAGTTGTACTTGGACAGGGAACATTCCCTCAAAATTTCAGCGTTCCAACTTTTCTGTTAGCAGTTAGCAGTTTTCCCGTCAAAACCCTCACACACCAGTACTTGGATACTCCACTTGCTTGGAAAGCTGAATTTGAAAATTTTAAATTGCACAGTGGACAGGGAACATCGGCCTAAAATTTCAGTCTTCCAGCTCTTCTGATTGGTGAGTTGGTAATTTTTCTGCAGAAACTTTCATATGCCTTTACTTGAGTACCATGCATAGTATGGGGCTGAATTTGAAACATTTGAGTTGTACTTCGATAGGGAACATTCCTACAAAATTTCAGCCTTCTAGCTTTCTTGGTACCCGAGTTAGCAGTTTTCCCCCTAAAACTTTCATACGCCCTTACATGAGTACCACGTACAACTGGGGACTGAATTTAAAATCTTTAGCTACTACTTGCACAAAGAATATCCCTACAAAGTTTCAGCCTCTTAGCTCATGTGGTTTTCGAGATCGCCTTACCGCCAAAAAAATTTGAATATTTTTTTAAAGTGTCCGTACGCGGCACCCAGGCGCCTGCGGGAGATGATATTAAAATGGGAGGGTCGCGCATGGTATGGGCACATAGCCCCAAAGTTTCAGCCTTCTAGCTTTTCTGGGTCTCGAGTTGAAAGTGGGTGACAAA